TAATTGCAATAATTTTTAAAAATAAAAATAAAAGTTAAGTAAGGCATATAACTCAAATGATTCACACATACAATAATAATAACTCATATAAATAATAAATTTTAAACCAAGCATATGACACATAACAATAATATTTCATACTTAATTTTTTATTTTTCTAAACTAATTATATAAGTATATACCTATAAATTATTCAATACTTATTAGATTAAATATCAAATATAAGTGTTTGAGTACTTGGATAGACCCTAAATCTAAAAAATTATATTAAAAAATTTTAAAATCAAGTACCAAATATAACTTGAACGTAACGTATACTCGAAAATGCACACCCCCCTTGTTACTCCTGTTTTTTCAGACCAACCATGAGAAGGATCCCAAACCCACATGAGCCCAGTAACTGAAATTTCAAGGACCTTTTCTCGCCATTTGGGAATCGCTTTCTGAAAACAAGAAACCTTACACTTAATTTCTGCCACGCCAAGTCACCCAATCTGGAATATTTTATCAAATACACATAATTCTTCACTCCATTAGAAAAGTCTTCATTTCTTTATTTTTTTTCTTCGCTTTAGCCAACATTTCTTCATTTTGTCCAGTAATTTAGTTCCAAGCAATTGATTAAAAGAAGAAGAAGAAGCTCAAGCAACCCTCATTTCCTAACAATCTATATGCATAATTAACCATACGTTGAATAAGACCAAATCAAAGCCTAATTCCACTCTGTTTTCATGGGTAAAGAATTCGTGGCACTTGGCATCCCACAACTCTGTGGAATTGTTCTCCAAGACCCCAAAAATCTAGGAAGGTCTTTCAGTTCTAAAAGGTGATGCATTTCACAAATCAGAAAAGTAGACAAAGAATAGTCAAGCAAATTGTAAGTTCTGTGTTGGTTGGTTCATCCAACAAGGTCCCTTCGTAGACTAGGCTTCTGGTTGAATTAGTTTTAGGTTGGAAACAGTTGCAATTAAATAAGAGAGCAAAGGAATAAGTATGGAATAAACCACCGACGAGCAATTTCTTCCCTACCCCTTTACTGCATTCCAGGATACCGATAAAACTGTAGGAAATAATATAAAAGCCTTAACAGCAATGCTTGAATTCATCCAATTTCTCGATCACTACCTCTTTTAAAGGTTTCTATTCTCCATTGATCCGACGGTGTTGCGCTAAAATTTCTCAATCATAGAAACAACCTAGCCCTAGCATGCATTATCTCATGGCTATCACCAAAAGGACCATCATCTTGATTATCTGTGTGCTCATCTCTCTTGCCTCTGATTCCTTGGCTCAAAACTGCTCAAACTACACATTTCCAAGCAACCAAGTCTTCAGTTCCTGCAGTGATCTTCCGGTACTGGATGCCCATTTACACTGGAACTACATTCCATCCACCAAGCGCATTCAGATTGCATACAGAGCTGCCCAGAATTCTACAGGATGGATTGCGTGGGCTATCAATCCAACTGGATTGACTATGGTTGGATCTCAGGCTCTTGTAGCTTTTCGTAACTCTAATGGCAGTATGACTGCTTATACAACACAAGTAACCAGTTATAACCCTTCAATGCAACCGCAAGCCCTAAGCTTTCCAGTTTCCAATATCTCTGCAACATACACCAATAATGAGATGACTATCTTTGCTGTGGTGGGACCCTTCGGTAATGGAACAACTTTCAATCACGTTTGGCAGGCAGGAAATTCAATTTCAGATGACATCCCTCAGAGTCATCCAATGGCAGGGCCAAATACACAGTCAATAGGAAAACTCAGTTTTCTGTGAGGAACGGAAGAGATACTAGCACAGGAACCTATAAATGCTTGATCTGAAGTTTACCAACCAAATATCACAACACTACTAGCTTTCAAATTAAATCAGCACTTCAGTCATTACTGATTATTGTCAACAATGTCATTGTATGTCCATTGCTCTTGCAAAACCAACAAATTTAAGGCAGCTAATAACTTTCACATTCATTGAAATAAATGTTAGTTACTATGATACAGTTCCAGAAGCTCCGAAAGTTAGCAAGCTACTAAATCTTCTTGGGAAAATATGAAGAAAATAATGAATCTTCTACTTTAATTTTCTCGAGTTTTGAGTTACACATGTATTCCTCACATCTGACTTATAAGCAACCTTCTTAAAAAGCTTCCCCCCAGACCCCACCCAACTTGCATGCCACTTTCCCACCAAAGAGTGATTATGGCATACTTGATAATTTAACATTACAAGTACATTATATGGTCTGAATCTAACCGACACTCTTCTTCTCAAAACAGGTGTATAACTCCAATGGAGGATATTCTTTTAATTAGAATTTTTCAGACAAATAATTCGAAAAAAGGCAGGTTCTTCAGGGCTGTGTATGTGTGACCACATTACCAATCAAATGCAAATACTCCTCACGCTTTTGTTCTGTCACTGGTAACTCCAATGTAACCTGTTCAATATGAAGGAAATAGAAAAAAGTCAACTGCACAAAACTAGAAGAAAAAGGATAAGCTACCAAACATTTGCAACTATTAATCTTCTACTAGTATGAAAGTTGAACCCTTTGAAGCACAGGAAACATAAAGGCTGTAGCCAATACTTAGGAAAAAGATTTTGTCTTGGTTGGCAAGTAAACATGCTAGCCTCACATTCATAAAATAATAAAATGTGGAAAACCTCTTAAGGAAATAACTTTACATCCAATAACTTCACTTGATAATTACTTATAAGCTTGGACATACTTTTCTCACAACAACCCTTCTTTCGTTTCTTCCTTCTTAAATTTTCTCTAATTTCCAATAAGATATTTTTTGGTTCTTTCTTTAAGTAAACTTAAATAAATAAAATGATAAAATCATCAATCTAAGTTGATCTGAAAATGATTGATTTGTAAATGTGATTCATTAAATTATCCTTGTGCTGGAAACACACAGAAGCTGATCAACTCCTTCCAGTTGGATGGCAGATAAAGGAAACTGCAATTACTAATTAATGTCTATTAACAGCTTGTCTATGTTCTAAATCATTCCAAGCCAGATTAGGATTTAGTCCCTTCATATAATCTATAGAATCAAGTGCCAAGCAACACAGGTTTCCTCAACAACAAAGGGAAGAATGATACAAACTTCTCTTTAAATCTACAGGGCCTTACCTCTTTGAAGATTTCACTATATGAAGCCTCCTCAAAGCCCTACATCAAGCATAAATGCCATTGGTCAAGCATAAAAAAAGGATAAAATGCTAGGTTTTACAATTATGTGTGCCGCATACAAGGCACTTAACCTCCACAAAGCTTGGAAATTAGTCCCTTCAAATGAATGGCTTGCACAAAAATATAGAGAGTAGAAAACTATATTTTTTCTGCACACACACACACAGAGGTACCAATTTTTGGAACAAATGAAGGGATGATCTATTTGATTCTCCAATCTTAGCATGAAAGCCATGGATCCCCAAGCTTTGAACTGCATAGGCCATCATCATCAAAACAGATTCCTTCCCGAGGCCCTTACTGCGGCTATTCTAGCAAAATAAAAAGATGAGAAATAAGAATTAAAAAGGACTAAATAATGTTTGGTTCATTAACTATTGACTTGTTATCATTTAAGTCTAGAAAATTTATTTTCACCCAAACTGATTGAGAAACTTCAAAAATGTATCAAAATAGTCTATCCATCAAAGTTTCATAAGTTTTTCTAACAAGATTACACACTGGCTTCTACATGGCACAACAAATATGCCATGTCCTTAAGAAAATTACAATTCATCAATCAGAAGTGATGACAGAAGATTGAAAAAGACATTATCAACACCCAAGATGAGAAGAAAATTAAGGAAGCAATAGACTTAAAGTTAATTATTGGTCAAAATGTAATTTTTTGGGACTATGACACCTTTGTCATGGAACATGGGCGCTGGTGTTGAATTTCAATAGAAAACTTACAGAACCTTGGCGATGTAGACCATTTTGATACACATTTTGAAGTTGCCAAATTAGTTTGGGAGAATATATTTTCCATACCAAAATGATAATGAATCAATAGTTAGTAGACCAAACATTAAATCTAGCATTTAAAAAGAAACTGTACATACAACACAAGTATAAGAAACCAATTCTATATTCTTTCTTAATTTCCTAGATGAACCTAGATATGTTAAATAGAAGACTATAATGAATAGAAATCAAAGAATTTAGAACAATTCTGATGGCAGAATATGCAAAAGTGTAAAACAGAAATGTCTTTTTAAGATGTACATAACACTTTGGCCAAATAAAAAAAAGGTGTACATAACAAACTCATTTTGTGGCTGAATCATTGTTTGTTTTCCAAATACTTTTAAATCATTCTTCCAAGTATTGGTAGCTCTAGCCTCTTTTATCTTCCTAAAAATTTGGTTTAATTATTTATTTCTAACCTTCACCATCAAAATATCCTTGTGTCAATTACACTCACTTCTTATACACTGTTAAGAATGAGTGCTTTACAATGGCCCCAATATGCTTGAGTGGCATTTTTGTTTCTAAAATTTGACAATAGAAGAACACTAGAATGAGCATAAAAATTACAGTTATTATTTAAGCATGTTCAGTTTTTCAGGAACTAAGAAAAAGCAAAAATCAACATAGAATTTGTTTGAAAAAATTTTTAAAATTCATGCAAGAATGGGATTCCTATGTAACGCACATAAGAAGAAACGATGGAAAGCAAAGAACACAATAACTCTGATTTTGGGTTACAATTATGTAAATGTGAGAAGCAAAAAGCAAGTACCTTTTCGGTTCAGCAATCATGATCTCAACCTCTGCTAACTTAGAGTCATCCAAGTCATTCATGTAGATATTCACATCTCCAACCATGGCTGAATCATTGTTCAATAATTAATTACTCCCACAGAAATTTTAACAGATAATCACAATATTTCATACTTGTATTTACTACTAGTTCTTTCAAAATAAATTAGGGTCATCACTTCAGCTATATAAACTGAACTGGACTTATACATTTTCTGGGTTGTGAAATTGGAGATTTTTATCATAACAGAGATCTAAAACCTGAGGATCCAATACTTCCCTGGAATTTCTCAGTTAAAAAAGAAGAAAAAAATGTTATTTTTTTACTAACCTTCCACATGGGGATCCCCATGAACGAATTCTCCATGCACTAGTTCCTTATCCAGAACAATGAAAGTTTTCTCTGCAAAACCAGTTTTTGGTCGAAATTAAAACCACCCAAATGGCTGAATGTAAAGAAACAGAAAATAGTAGTGCAATGGAGTAAGTTTGAAGAAATAGAGAGGTACTGAGAGGGTCTTGGATCCAGGAGAGCTGCATCTGGTACTCCTCTTCTAGGGAAAGGGGTTCTGATCCGGTGGCCTGAAGGAGAGCAGGATCCTGCATCCACTGGTGATACTTTGGGACGTGAGCCTCCATGTATGGCACCAAAATCACCTTTTCACCTTCCAAGCTCACTTCCATCTCCTGCTTCTCTTTTCTGTTCTGCAGCTGTGGATTGTGTCTGGCTTGCTGCAAGAAGTCAGGGCTCGGGGTATGGGGAATGTGGGGAGCACGAAAAGTTCAAAACGACGCCGTTTCTTTCGATCAAGTTAACTTTTGTTTTTTTTTTTTTTTCAGATTAATTAAATTTGGGTTTTTGTAAACATATATGTTAAAGACACTTTTTATTATAAATTTATATAAAAAAGAGTAAAAGTTAATATTAATTTTAGTATTATTGTGTGGTAAATGAATTTAATTAGTTAGAAGATTGACAAATTAAAAATTAACTTTTATTCTTTTAACACAAATTTATAATAAAAGATAAAAGAAAAAATTAAGATGTTTTAATATTAAAAATATTAAAACATCTAACTATAATTAATAAATATACAAAGTATAACATGAGTTTTAATTTTATCAAATTCATTATATAAGCATTATTAGCTGTTTTAATATTTTTAAATATTTTCTCTTCTCTTATAATGTTGTGAAAATTATATTGATATTTAGAGTTTTTAACCTTAAAAGTTATTTTTCACAAATATAAACCCTTTAATTGAACATGTTGAAAAATCCCCAAATTTAATAGTAAAGAGCTGGTTAATAAATGATATTGCATTTTTCTAATAATAATAATAATAAAAGTCTCCAAGAGAGGCCTTGGTAGGGTTTTATAGTGAAGGATTCTTGCAGGTGTTGGTCACTCTTGAGTTTAGGTGGGGGTTTTTATCAGGGTTCTTCTTTCCTTGGTGAAGGTTTACGGCGGGTTTTCTTCATAGCAAAACAAGGGCATGGGCATAAGGGCAACACTATCACTATCGTTTTCTACCAGTTTTAAATTTAATCCAAAATGATATAAGGTTATATTTTGTTTTGGTTAAATATCGATTATTTTAGTTAAATTTTGGTATATCAATTAATATTTCAATGTACTAGTCAATATATTAAAATTTTATTAGTATAATTTTTTTTTATCTATATTTTTTATAATAAAAAATAACATATTACTTATCAAACGATATAATAAAAACATATTTATCTTATTAGAAATACAATTATCAATGTACTTATCTTTTTATCAACAAAACATCTTTGTTTTTTCAATATATATACATAAATTATGATTTGAATATCAAATTATTATTATTTTTTATCAAATACATCAGATGATTATTTAATTATATTTAAACTTAAAAGAATAAATTGTAAATGAAAATAAATATTTAATTTTTTTAATTGTGTTGGGTTTAGATTCAAATAAATATATAAATCTTTATAAATAAATGTAGAAAATGTTGATATACTGTTTTTTTTAATATTATAATCTTAATATTTCAAGAATTTTGTTATTTTGAATATATTTTTTATTTTTGAAAAATTAAAATTTTTAAATATTAAAATTTTTTATACACATTAAATAACATTTCATAATTATATATTTAATTTATATAAAAATATATATTTATAATAGTAATTTTAAAACAATATAAAAAATTATTTCATTATTCAACGTGTACTATTTTAATAACAAAATCAATACAAATATTAAGATAATATTGACAACCTTGCCTAAGTTACCTCGGGTGGTCGCTTTTCTGTTTTAGTCCTTCTATAGAACGGTAGAACCCATCGATAAAGACTATTGGTGGTTTCTTTCCATTTCGAAACAGGAGAAGGGCAATTGCGACGATTCAAAGCGCGATTGGATCAAGAGGTGAAGAAGCATATTGTAGGTTGGGTCAAATTTAAATTATTAAATTATCAACAATGTTGTAATTATAATTTTGGGTAAGATTATATATTTATGATTATAACATAATATTAAATGAGTAGATATATACAATATTATAGATAAATTTTTAAATAAAAAAATTAATTATATAATAATTTAATAATGTATTATATTATAAATTTATAATACTAGTGATATTGTAATTATAACATTTTCATTAAATTATATCATTTGCAAAATTTTATATACAGTTTAAATTATTTTTAGAAGATTATAGAGTAGTAAATATACTTTTTCAATTTTATTTCAACAATTTCATAATATTCAAATTAACAAAATATTTTTTATCATTAAAATATAATATTTGAAAATAACAAGGAATCCGTTCATAAACAAGTTTTACTCATTATATTTATACAAAATCTTGACCATTTATCTTTTTACTTTCAACAGTTGAGATTTATTATGATTTTTTAGAAAATAAAATAATTATTTTAATAAATGTGAATAAATTTCAATTATTAAAAGTAGATAGATGAATAATTAAAATTTTGTATAATGTAATGTGTAAAACTTATATGTAAATAGATTTCAACTTTTTGAAAATAATAAATTCTTTATGTACCATAAACCTATTGATCTATATGAAAAAAAGTCATTTTTTCAACCCAAAAATATTTATTGAGTAAAAAATTTTATTACAAAATTATAAATACAAATAATGTGAATTTATAAATAATGGTTTAAATATATAAAATGTTGGTTGAATAATATAATAGTAGTATATTTTTTAAGAAGCTCTATTTTGTTATATGCAGAAAGTATTATATTTATAGGTTAAATATATAAAAAAGTAGATTTATATAAAATAATACTAATTATGATGATATAGCATCAAAGTGAGTTTTTTTTGTAAATATTTATTATTGTACGTCCTCTAATAGATGACATAAGGCCCAATCATCCACATCATCATCTTTTAGCTATATATGGAAGCCACATGGAATTTCTACATTAGCAAAATATGAAAAAAAGAAAGCTTGCCGTTTAGTTACCTGCCAAGTTAGCAAGAATTTGATGGAAGGATAAAAAAAAGGTCCAAATTGAAGAGTTGAGGGACAAAAAAAGGAATTTGTTGATATGAATTAAATTTAACAAGAATTTTTAACTTGTGTATTAAGAATGCAATTTAAGAGAATAATAAATATATTTTTTATAAAAAAAATTATGATATATTAATATTAAAAATATCAAAATTTTTAATAATAATTACAAAATTAATTTAATAAATTTAAAATTAATATTATATTTTACACATTTAATTATTATAATTAAATGTCTTAATATTTTTAATATCATGATATCTTAATTATTTTTTTCACATTATAACTCTAATAAAAAAAAAAGCGCGTGATCACACCGGTACAAGCCAACAAGAATATTGGGGTGCAGCTCTAGAAAAGGAAGAAAGAGAGTACGTCATTGACTATTAGAGGGTATAAAGGGGTTAACGGGTTGTGTTCAGATTCAGGGCTAGTGGAGGGAGGGATTTCCTGCGAGCCTAAAAGGTTCAAAGCGGTGGCGGGCTAGTGGTTCTGCTCCTTGGAAATAAACGTTTTTGGTGAGGATGATGATTTTGGGCATATTACTTTACAGGCCTTTAACTTTCAAAAATTGTGGGTTTAGTCCTTTAGTTTTTATTTTTTCTGGTTAAGTTTATTTTTTAGTTTTAGGTTTGTTTCTATTGAGTCGACCTTGGTTTTACTCTTTTAGAACAAGGGTAGAAGAACCTCAAGAGAGCTAGGTAGTCGTCAAGGAATAATTTTGTCTTAGGGTTAGTTTTCTTTTCTTTTGTTTTAAGTTGGTTTATGTTAATTAATGGGTCATTCAGGTTCAATGCTTTATAAACATAAGTCTTTCACTCATAATGAATTGCATAATCTTAGCTTTGGGAATTATGTTGAGAGCTTCTCTTTTTTGTGGCAACTTGACACGATCTAGAGAAAGATAAAAATCATGGTTGTATGGTCCCCACACTTTATTATGTGGTATTTTTTGGGTTATTAACCTATGAAGTTATATGCTTAAGCCAAGAAAGCCATTACATTACTCATTATATATATAATATATAATAGGGACAATTCCAATTAAAGGTGGTTTCACAAAAATAAATACCATTTAGGAGATGTTTCAAAAATATTTCCTAAATAGTCCTAAAATACTAAATAATTCTAAATTAGTACCCTGTGATTCCAATTTTACCATTTATTTCAAATTAATTTATCCTAGTTGCTTGTTCCTCATGTCCACCAATCTTTTCTTCCAACAATTTTTTCTTTCCCAACAACATGTTTGTGGATTCTCTAAGTAGCTTCAATGAGGTTTCAGTTTTCCATCATTTCCCTTCCTTTTCTTTACTAACACAATCAAATCAAGCTTTTAGATCCCTGATTTTTGGCCATCCTTGGCCTTTTTCCAATGTTTATTTATTAGCTTTGCACATTAATATACAATAGAATTTTGATGTGATTTGGACTATTTTGACATGATTTCTAGTGTTATCTTTGTTTACCAACATCTTGTTATAGGTCTTCTCTTAGTCATTGGTTTAGTGTCATTCCCTTTCTCTTTGGCATAAATCTCACTAGATCTAAAAGTTTTCGTTATCTCTAGCTTGAATTTAACACCAAATTTAGTTATTGGCTACCTCTTCTTTCATTTCTTTCATTTGACTATCTCTTTCTCACTTCCCTCACAACCCATTGTATAATTTTAGTTTTTGGTAGACTACTCATCCATTACTAATGAAGATGTTACTTACGTTTTTTTTTTTTTTGGTTGTTGAGAATGTTGCCAATGAGAATGAAAATAAATGAAAGAGAAAAGCAAAACTATAAAATTCAATAATTTGTTTGGTTCTTATTTCTTGATGGACTTCAACAACTTGTTGAATGTTGACTGGGAATTTGGGATAAAACTATAAAACTATAAGTAGAGAGATGTAAAGCAATTTAGGGAGTTTAATTTGATATAAAGGGTAAAATTGGAATCCCAAGGAACAATGTAGAATTGTTGCGTATTTTAGGATTGTTGGGCAAAAAGTTTTGAAATCTCCTATAATCTCTCTTTATTTATTTTTTAAACCACTTTTAATAAGAATTATCCCTAGACAATGCTCGTACCTCACATTGGAATGTTACAATATGAAATAAATTAATTAGATTTTTGGTTTTTAAGAACATCTTTCCCTATATGAGTATAAAATATTATTTGTTTTTGCAGATTTATTATATAAAATAAAGT